ACTGTGAGCTGTAAAGGGCTGATAACCTGTGTATGGGGTTGAAGTACAAGGGTACAGAACCCCTGATCCGCTGGTAGAGGGAAGGAGGGAAAGATGGATATCTTTTCCTCCTGCACGATCAAAGGTCTGATCGATCTATCCCAATACCTGAACCCAAACGGCCAGGCGCAGGAGAGGTGAGGATAAGGAGTATATATGAGGGTATTACACGGGTTCTATTCACAGTATCCGGCCGAATTGCTTCACGTGCTCGACGAGCGTTTGCAGAGGACCGCTCAATGCAGCACGCTGAGGAGCAGCGCTGTTCCCTGCCGCAGGCTGAGGAGCACCGCTGTTCAATGCAGCAGGGTCAGGAGCACCGCCGCCAGACCGAGAACTATCAGCATGTCCTGGTATTAAGGTGTGCAGTAGGCGCCGCGCAGTTCCTTTGAAAGGAAATCTTCGAAAGCAGGGCTGTAGCCAAGAAGGCTACGGGGACGATGATGATGATGAAGATGATGAGTCTTGGAAGTCTGGGAAGTGGAAGAGCACGAAGTGGCGTACAGTTGGCTCCGGGCATTCAAAATGTGGCCCGGGAGTGGAGTTCTGGGAAGTGGAAGAGCACGAAGTGGCCTACAGTTGGCTCCGGGCATTCAAAATGTGGCCCGGGAATGGTGTTCTGGGAAGTCCAAGAGCACGAAGTGGCCTACAGTTGGCTCCGGGCATCCAAAATGTGGCCCGGGAATGGAGTTCTGGGAAGTCGAAGAGCACGAAGTGGCCTACAGTTGGCTCCGGGCATCCAAAATGTGGCCCGGGAATGGAGTTCTGGGAAGTCGAAGAGCACGAAGTGGCCTACAGTTGGCTCCGGGCATTCAAAATGTGGCCCGGGAATGGAGTTCTGGGAGGTCGAAGAGCACGAAGTGTGTGACTGTTTGCTTAAAACGAGCCCGGTCCTCGCCTGTCCGGCTCCCGCCCAGACCCCCCTGGGGAGTCATCAGATGCTCTCTTTTGACCCCATTAGAAACATATCAGTCTTCGCTGTTAGGCAAAAAATTATTTACGTTTCGCGTATCCCCACCAGCCCATCCCAAAACAGCAACTCTTGCGAAGCATGCCGACAGTCGTGTTTTTCAGGCGTGTGTCCGCTTGCCCCCGCATATCTTCCTGTTCCTCCTTCCTCCCGCCTCCTTGTACATCCTCCTTGTGGTGGGAGCGGGAAAGGACGAGGCGGAGGAGGAGGGAGAGAAAGCGGTGGGAGGCAAGAGGGATTTAGCAGAGACGACGACCACAGCGATGATCCTCACAACGACGACGCACCCGACGACGACGATATCGACCGCAACGACGACGACGACCACAACCGCGACGACGACGACGACGACGACGACGACGTCGACGACGACGACGACGACAACGACGACGACTGGTGGGAGTCGTTGGGGCCCCTCGTGGTGTGAGTCGTTCGGCCCCATCGTCCTTGTGTGAGTCCTTCGGGCCCCTCTTCCTGGTGTGAGTCGTTCGGGCTCCTCGTGGTGTGAGTCGTTCGGGCCCTCGTCCTGGTGTGAGCCGTTCGGGCTTCTCGTGGTTCGAGTCGTTCGGGCCTCTCGTCCTGGTGTGCGTCGTTCGGGCCCTTCTTCCTGGTGTGAGTCGTTCGTGCTCTTCGTGGTGTGAGTCGTTCGGGCTCTTCGTCCTGGTGTGAGTCGTTCGGGCTTCTCGTGGTGTGAGTTGTTCGGGCCCCTCGTCCTGGTGTGAGTCGTTCGGGCCCCTCCTCCTGGTGTGACTCGTTCGGGCTCCTCGTGGTGTGAGTCGTTCGGGGCCCTCGTCCTGGTGTGAGTCGTTCGGGCTCCTCGTGGTGTGAGTCGTTCGGGCGCCTCGTCCTGGTGTGAGTCGTTCGGGCCCCTCCTCCTGGTGTGAGTCGTTCGGGCTCTTCGTGGTGTGAGTCGTTCGGGCCCCTCGTCCTGGTGTGAGTCGTTCGGGCTCCTCGTGGTGTGAGGCGTTCGGGCACCTCGTCCTGGTGCGAGTCGTTCGGGCCCCTCGTAGTAGTAGTAGTAGTAGTAGTAGTAGTAGTAGTAGTAGTAGTAGTAGTAGTAGTAGTAGTAGTAGTAGTAGTAGTAGTAGTAGTAGTAGTAGTAGTAGTAGTAGTAGTAGTAGTAGTAGTAGTAGTAGTAGTAGTAGTAGTAGTAGTAGTAGTAGTAGTAGTAGTAGTAGTAGTAGTAGTAGTAGTAGTAGTAGTAGTAGTAGTAGTAGTAGTAGTAGTAGTAGTAGTAGTAGTAGTAGTAGTAGTAGTAGTAGTAGTAGTAGTAGTAGTAGTAGTAGTAGTAGTAGTAGTAGTAGTAGTAGTAGTAGTAGTAGTAGCAGTAGTAGCAGTAGCAGTGACACTAGCAGTAGCAGTAGCAGTAGCAGTAGCCGTCGCAGTAGAATTATTATTATTATTAGTAGTAGTAGTAGTAGTAGCAGTAGTAGCAGTACAAGTAGTCGTATCCAAGGCAGTTTGGAGGCCTCTTGGAGATCGTAGAGGGGCCTCTTGGGCTCTCTTTTGAGCCTCTTGGGAGCGTCCGGGGGCCCTCTTGGGCGCCTCTTGGAGCGTCTTGGGGGCCTGTTGGGGCCATCTTTGGGGCGATCGATCACAGATGGGGCGAGCATTTTTGTCAGTACCCCCGTCGGGGCCACGATCCTCGTGAGGGGTGTCGAATTTTAGCCCTCCCAGGGATAGAAAAAGGACCCTCTGACCACCCGCGAAACCCCCTCTCCAGGTCCAGGGGGAGGGGGTAGGGGGAGGGGTAAACCCCTCCCCGAAGGGGAAGAAGGGGGGTTGAGAACAGAGAGAGCTCGCTAAACCACTCACGCCCAAAGGGCTGGTGGGATTATCCCGGCAAAGCAACCTAACAGCGATGTGTAGAAGCATTGCTGGAAACATTGCCTGTGGTATTCATGTAAGAGTGCTGTTGTAGAATTCTGATGTTCTCGCAGTCGCATTCGGATTCGCAGTGGCAGTCGCAGTGGCAACATCAGCGGCAGTCGCAGTGGCACTGCCAGTAGTTGCAGTAGCAATAGTTACACTAGCAGCAGCAACAGCAGCAGCAGCAGTAATAGTAACAGTCGTAGTAGCAGTAGAAGTAGTAGTGATGGTAGTAGTGGTAACAGTGAAGTAGTAGTTGTAGTGTGTGGAGTGAACGAGTAGGAGTGATGGGAGCAGTGGTAGTAGCAGTAGAAGCACTGCTTTCGATAACGGTATCTCCAACGATCACTGTAGCCAAGAAGGCTACGGGGACGATGATGATGATGATGATGATGATGATGATGATGATGATGATGATGATGATGATGAAGATGATGAGTCTTGGAAGTCTGGGAAATGGAAGGTACCGAAATGGCGTACAGTTGGCTCCGGGCATTCAAAATGTGGCCCGGGAATGGTGTTCTGGGAAGTCCAAGAGCACGAAGTGGCCCACAGTTGGCTCCGGGCATCCAAAATGTGGCCCGGGAGTGGTGTTCTGGGAAGTCCAAGAGCACGAAGTGGCCTACAGTTGGCTCTGGGCATCCAAAATGTGGCCCGGGAATGGAGTTCTGGGAAGTCGAAGAGCACGAAGTGGCCTACAGTTGGCTCCGGGCATCCAAAATGTCGCCCAAGAATGGAGATCTGGGAAGTCGAAGAGCACGAAGTGGCTTACAGTTGGTTCCGAGCATCCAAAATGTGGCCCGGGAATAGAATTCTGGGAAGTCGAAGAGCACGAAGTGGCCTAGTTGGCTCTGGGCATCCAAAATGTGGCCCGGGAATGGTGTTCTGGGAAGTCCAAGAGCACGAAGTGGCCTACAGTTGGCTTCGGGGATTCAAAATGTGGCCCGGGAATGGAGTTCTGGGAGGTCGAAGAGCACGAAGTGTGCGACTGTTTGTTTAAAACGAGCCCGGCCCTGAGCCCGGCCCTCGCTGTCCGGACGCCGCCTAGACCTCCCTTCTGAGTCATCAGATGCTTTCTTTTGACACCATTAAAAACCTATCAGTCTTCGTTGTTAGGTAACAAAAGAACTGCTCTGTGGTCGCCGTGCTTGGCAGAAGCGCCCCTTGCACCTGCTGGCTGTGGTCTCCAGAGGCAGGCGGAGCTGTCGGAGGAGCAGCGTGCGGAAACGCTCTGGTGTGAAGGTAGTTTCGGGCGTCGTCGGGATCAGAGAAACGTGTCGCCCGCCGCAGCAGCCTCCATGGGAGTCAAGCATCCACTGCTGGTCGTCTGCGAGGCTGGGAAGCACAACATCTGCTGGGCGTCCTGGAGACACTCGGCCGCGGCGCCTGTCCCAGTGTGGAGGGCCGCGGTGAGTTCTGCTGCTAGAAGGTTGGAGCGCGCGTGTGCCCACGAAGCCCAGTAGGCACACTCAGCCGCGCGCGCTGCTGACCTCGGCCCGAGACCGCCGAGGCCGAGCGGCAGCGAACTCACGCGGAAGAGTCTTTCTGCGTCCGCCGGCGTGGGGGCAAGGTCGAGGAGGCCGCGCGGCGCTTCCTGGAGCGAGCGATCGCGCCCCTTCGCCGAAGGCCGCGGCGAGGAGGGTGGCAGCGCGCGCAGCGCGTGGTTGCACCGGGGCGCAGCGCAGCACAGCAGGAAGGCCCAGGCACACTGAAGGTCGGGCAAGCGGGAGCTCTTGAAGGAATCTGCGTTCCTCGTCTGTCCGCTCTTGCGTCTGCCTGGCTGCGAACGCCGGCGTGCCCAGGGGCGAAAGAGCGTGTTCCATTGCTGCTGGTAGAAAACCAGGGGAGGTCACTACCGGTTCGAACCCCTCCCTCCCCCCCCCCCCTCCCTTCCGGAAAACGGGGGGGTCACTTGCCCCCCCCCCCAGTTCAGCATGAGAAGAGGGAGGGGTCACTACCGGTTCGAACCCCCCGTCTCCCCGCCCCATCGAAAACCGCGGGGGGTCACCACCGGTTCGAACCCCTCATGTCGTCCTCGCCCAAGGCCAATTTAAGGAGCTCAAAGCTTGCACCGCTCAGCGAGCTAGAAGACCCCTTCGGCGCAGAGCGGGCGCACTCAGTCCAGATGCGGCGGTCTAGCTCGACCGGGCGGGCTGGGCGGAAAGCGCGCGCAGCTGGCGGCAGCGCGGCTGTGGGCAGTGGTGGGCGCCGAGCGGGGTCCTGCAGCTCAGCCAGCGCCTCGGCCGTGCCTGGCGCTAGCCCGCGCGACGCCAGCAACTGTCGTGCTTTGCTGGGGGCCGCCTGCCCTGACCAGCGCCACCGCCTTCTCGAGGGTGCGCTGGCGGCTCGCCTCGGCGTCGTCTGCGTGGCGCGCGGCTGGGGCGCCCTGTGCCTGAGCGTTCGGTGCGAGCAGCGCTTCCCAAGAGCCCTCCTCGAATTGCTCCAGTCGCTTTTCGAGTTCTCGCCGCCCTGGGGCCCCGGCACTGGCGGGCCTCTGCAGCAGCATGCACCACATAAGGATCAGCAGCGTCCACGCCCTCAATCTCTGCAGTTCGCCGCCCTCGCTGGAGAGAGCGTCCGCGCGCAAGACCTCCTGGAGCACCATGTGGCAGGCTTGCCAGAGGCGGCCTCGAAGGAACGCTGGCGGCGCCCGGATGCACGCCACCCGGCGGCGGAGTTCGGCTTCCAGGCCGACGCCGTCAAGAAGCGCCCAGGCGGCGTCAGTGAAGGCGGAGCGTCTGGGCGTTGTCGACGCGCCGCGCCGCCGCCTCCGCAGGGCTGGGCCTGCGCTGGCGGCGCGGCGCCGGCTCTGTCGGAGGCGCCCTGGCTGTCGCCGCTCTGCTCGTCGTCGCTGTCGCTGCAGCTGCTGCTGCTGCTGCTGCTGCTGCTGCTGCTGCTGCTGCTGCTGCTGCTGCTGCTGCTGCTGCTGCTGCTGCTGCTTGGCGCGCCCCCGCCTCCACCACCGTCTCTTCCTCCTCTGGCGCCTCGGCCTCTGCCTCCTGTCTCTCCTCTGCCGCCTCTTCCTGTTCTGCTCCCGCTGGCGTCGCCCAGCCTTCGGCCTTCTCCTGCGATCCCTCTGCTGGCGTCGTCCGTCGCTTGGTTGAGGTCTCGGTGGCGCAGCTGGTGGCGGCATATGCGGGGCGGCTGCGGCCCACCTGGCCGGGTCGCGAAGCTCGTCTGTGCGCTGGTCGACTCCCCGCGCCAGCACGACCCCTCCAAAAAGCTAAAGCAAGAGGTCCTGGACGAGGTCGTCGACGCGGCCGGCGCTGTCCGCAAGCGCTCTTACTACCGGCTGTGAGTTGACATGTCCAGGGCGCGCCCCGCTTCCAGCGGCGACCGCGGCATACACCGTCCCTGGGCTGGCCCCTGCCTACTCCAACCCTTGGGAGAAAGTCTCGGCTGGCACGGGGTCCGCTCGCTCTGCAGGGCGTCGACTGTCGGCTGCCACCAATCGCGCGTGAGCGGGCGCGTGCTCCATCGCGCCACTACCTGCTGGTCAAGAAGCCCCGCCGCCGCCAACAACAAAGGAACGTACACGTCTGAGTTGGTTCGTGCTCGCAGCGGGCCCGCTGGGGGGTGCCATCCGGCGAAGCGGCCGGGCTGCTGTTGCTGTGCGCTGGTGGGTGCTTGTTCGGGGCACGCTCCTGCGTCTGCTCCTGGCGCGGGCGGCGGCTGAGGGCCAGCGGCGGCTGACTCAGGAAGCGGCGTGAGGGCGCAACCCTGGCAGAGCCAACCTCCTTGCCATATCGGTGGCTCTCCTGCGGCCCCGGTAGCCCGCGCGACCCACTCGATTGGCCCTGGCTGTCCGCAGGGGCATTGCGGCGGTCTCGCGCCCTGTGGCGGCGGGACGTCGGCCCCCAAGGGCGCGACGTCGCAAGCGACGCATTCCCAGGTGCCGACAAGCCAGCGGGGTCCACGATAGTGCCACCACCGCATGGCTTGCAGGCCTCGTCGTCGCGGCAGGGCGCTGCTCGGCTTTCCTGCTGTAGGCGCCTTGTGGGTCTCTGTTGGCGGGCCCTCCCCCCTTGGGGGCCCCGTCACACCCGCCCTCCGCGGTGCCCGCGTGCTGCCGAGCATGTGACAGGCCCCACATTTGATATTTCATCGGAGCGTTTTTTGCGCGCCGCGGCGTCGCCGCTGGCCGCGGCGTCACCACCGCCTGCTGGTGCCTGCTTGGCCCTCCCCTTAAGGGGTAGAGGATGCCGCCGAGCAGGCCTGCACCAGCGGCCTGCGGATCTCCGCGGGCGCCCGCGCCTCTGGCCGCCTGCCAGTGGCTACGCTTGCCCAGAGGTGGTTGGTTCAGTCGCTTTCCAGAAAGCTCCAGCTCCTCTTCCTCCTCCTCCTCCTCCTCCTCCTCTTCCTCCTCCTCCTCCTCCTCCTCCTCCTCCTCCTCCTCCCCCACAATTACATAATATGAAAATACTCTCTCACTTCCCCTGATGGCGTCCCGAAGATTTCCGACACCTTCCCGCGTATTGTTTTTTTACACAAGATTCCCGGGAAACGGGTTTTCGCTTGTGTTTGTTTTCAAAATGTTGCTCTCGCTGAGGCGCCGGCTTCATTTCTGTTCCCGAATCGTTCCGAATCGTGCTCCCGCTGCAGCGTGGGCCTCATTTTCGGATCGGTGTTTAGCATCCGTCGTTCAGGATGGCGTTCTCGCCCCAGCGCGGGCCTCTTTCTCGCGCGCCCATCCGCCCGCCACCACCGCGCCGCACCACCACCACCACCACCACCACCACCACCACCGCCACCACCACCACCAGCACCACCATCACCACCACCACCACGACCACCACCACCACCACCACCACCACCACAACCACACACGCACGCACGCACGCACGCACGCACGCACGCACGCGCACCACCACCCACTACGCACGCGCGCGCGGAGCCACAAGTCCGCTACGACACGCGTCCGCGGATAGAGAAAATCAGCGCCATGGTAAGGGATGGGAGGGAGGGTAGGACGTCAGATATGACGCGAGCGCACCTAGCTTGTCCTCCTCCTCCTCCTCCTCTTCCTCCTCCTCCTCCTGTTCCTGTTCCTGTTCCTGTTCCTGTTCCTCTTCCTGTCCCTCCTCCTCCTCCTCCTCCTCCTCCTCCTCCTCCTCCTTTTCCTTTTCCTCCTCCTCCTCCTCCTCCGCACCCTCCTCCTCGCCCTCCTCCTCCTCCTGCTCCTCCTCCTCCTCCTTCTCCTGCTTCGCGTCCTCCTCCTCCTCCTCCTCCTCCTTTTCCGCCTCCTCCTTTTTTTTCTCCTCATCCTCTTTTTTCTCCTCTTCCTTTCATCCTTCTTCGGTTTTTTTTTTTCTTTTTTTTACTTTTCCTCCTTTTCTCTCTTGTTTTTTTTTTCTTTGTATTTCTTTCTATTTTTTCTTCTTTTTCTTCTTTTATTCTTTTCTTCCTTTTTTCTCCTTCCTCCTCCTCCCCCTCCTCCCCCTCCGCCTCCCCCTCCTCCTTCTTCCTTCCCCTTCTTCCTGGGTCCTCCCCTGTCTCTCTGCCTTCCTCCTACCTCCTCCTCCCCCTGCTGTGCCTCCTCCTCCTTTCCTCCTCTCTCTCCTCTCCTCCTTCCTCTCCTCCTCTCCCTCCCCTCCTTCTCCTCCTCCTCCTCCTCCTTCCCTCAATTTCCTCAACAAAGCCTGAGACCAGTACCCACTCCTTCCTTTTTTCCTCCTCCTGCTCCTCCTCCCTCCCTCCTCCATTTCCTTCCTCTCCTCCTCCCTTCCCTCCTCTCCTCCTCCTCCCCTCCTCCTCGCCTCCTGCTCCTGTCTCCTCCTCCTCCTCCTCCTCCTCCTCCTCCTCCTCCTCCTCCTCCTCCTCCTCCTCCTCTGATGGCGTTGTTTCTTCCTCTGCCGACCCCAGCGCCTCTTCCTCCTTCTGTGGTGCTGGTGGTGCTGGAGGTGCTGCGGGTCGCAGTCGTGGTGGTGTTGCTGGTCGCTGTCGTGGTACTGCTGGTCGCAATCGTGGTGGTGGTGCTGCTGGTCGCAGTCGTGGTTGTAGTTCTGCTGGTCGCGGTCGTGCGTTCCTGGTCGCAGTCGTGGTGCAGCTGCTGGCCGCAGTCGTGGTAGTGGTGCTGCCGGTGGTGCTGCGGGTCACGGTCGTGGTGCAGTTGCTGGTCGCAGTCGTGGTGCTGCTAGTCGCAGTCGTGGTGGTAGTGCTGCTGGTCGCAGTCGTGGTTGCAGTTCTGCAGGTCGCAGTTGTGGCGCTCCTGGTCCCCGTCGTGCTGGTGGCGCTGCTGGTCGCAGTCGTGGTGCGGCGGCTGCTGGCCGCGCATGGGGGTCTCCCGCACGTAGGCGTCCAGGCTGGGGAGGGCGGCCGTGCCACGGCGGCCGATACCAGCCCCCTGGGCACCGGCCAGGCCAAGCCGAGCTGGCGACTGGCGGCCTGCAGCGGTGGCGTGCTGAAGCCGACCTGGTGGCCGCTCAGGAGCGGGGCGGGCGCTAGTGTCCGGCTCGCCGGCGCAAAGGCGGGGGGCCTGGATACGGAACGGGCTCGGCACTGCCGAGGCCGCCTTGCTGCCCGGCCCCGGCGGCTTGGGATCCCAGCCCTCGTCCCCTCCGCAAGATGGCCGCTTGTATGCATCGTGGCTGGGTGACCCACTCCTCGAATGCGACCCTCTTAATGGATGCGGCTCTCCCGGGGAGCGCTGGCACGGCTCCCTCGTGGGCGAAGGCGTCCGCGTACCCAGCACGGGGGTGCTCGGGCTGGTCGTCCTGGACCGCCAGGGGGCTGCGCCATCAGCGGGCGTGGGCGGGGGAACGGGTGCTTCCCGCTCCCAAAGGGAGCCTTGACCTCGGCGTCGGGGAGAGGCCGGGCCTGCCAGGTACAGCAACGCGTCCGCGATCGCGTCGGCCGCCGCTCGCAGGTCGTCGAAGCGGCACTCGTACTGGAGCTGCTCTGCTGCGTCTATATCCGTTCTCTGCAAGCGCCTCTCCTCCAGGAACTCCTTGGCGAGGGCGGTCAGCCCTGGCAGCCCTGGCAGCCGGCGGCGGGCCCCGTTTGTGATGGGAGCTCGCGGGGCGTCTCGGTCCAGAATGTCGGGCTCCAGCTGGCGATCTCGGAGACTGCTCGGCGGCTCGCGCCGCTCCGCGGGGCGACCCGCCCCGCTGCTGCTGCTCCACGGCGTTCCACCCAGCGTCCTGTCCGCCGATGGCCCTGGCGGGGCTGGCTCGCCGAGGAATAGGTCATCGCAGCCTCCATCCTCGACGGCCTCATCGTCGGCTGGTGCCCCGGCGGTGACGCTCGCCAAGGCATGCTCCAGCCGCGCCAGCCGCCGATGCATCTGAAGGAGTTTGATCCCGGCCAGGCCCATGCATCTGCGGCTACCCCCTGCGGGACCTGATCGGCATTGGTGGGCGCGATGAGCAGCAGGGCGCCCGCGGCGCGGGCCTCCGCTGCCAGGCGGCTGCTGGCGAGCGGGCTCGCCTCACGTGGGACCACGACCCAGTCGAGGGCCGCCATCCGCCAGCTGTCCCAGCCTGGGCGCGCGCGACGGGCGGCGACGGGTGTGGCGCCGAACGCGTAGTAGATCGTTTCGTCGTCCACCGTCGCGACCAGCGTCAGGTAGTTGATGCGCTGCTCCGCTGCGAGGGGGTGGATGTCGCTCAGCTCGGCGGCCGCGGGCCCCAGGCCGCGGCGCCCTGGGGATGGGCTCTGGCTCCGAGTCGCCGGCCACGCGCCGAACCCGCGGTGGGGCTCAGGCGGGGGCTGCGTCGGCGGACCCTGAGGTTGGCCCAGGGCGGCGGCGGCGTTGTCAGCGCAGCAGCGCGCGCCGCTGGCGACGACTTCTCTGAGTCGGGGGCAGCTGAGAGCCTCCGGCGCCTCAGGCGGCCCCCGCGTGCCCGACAGGTCGGCGTCCTCCGCCAGCTGCGGGACCGCGTCTCGTGAAGCTTGGTCCCGACACTTGCCTGGCTCCAATTGGTTCATTCGCCCGTCGTAGTCGTAAAGGATCTGGTCCGCGCAGCACTTGCGCTTCTCGGGCTCCGACTTCCGTCTCCGAGAGGTCTCTACGCGCGGCGATCTCGGGCGGCGGTGGCGGCCCGCGCCAGCAGGAGCCGCAGCGCCAGCTGCAGCAACGTGCGCCCTGGCCCCCAGCGCAACCACAGCTGCGGGCCAGGCACCTGCAGCCGCAGACTCCCCGCAGCCGCCCTGCGGCCCCCAGGAAGCGACAGGCGACGCGCGCTACCAAGCCGAGCTGCTGGCCTCGGCCCATCTCTGTGTCAGCGAGTTGGCCCAGCTCGACCAAGTTGTCACCGGCGATGTGGTTGTAGGTGCCTAGGTGCAGGGCGTAGTCGCTTAAGTCCCAGCACGGCGACTCGCGACATAGGTGCAGCTTCTGCGTCGGGGCGCCCTGCAGGCGCCGGTGCAAGCGCCCAAAAGTGGGCCCCCCGACTGTCTCGTAGTCGTCGACGAATGAGGCCTGATGCCCGTGCCGTTGGCCCTGCTCTTGATCTTCTGCTGACCCTGGCCGCCTGACCCTCCACGACGAAGACAAGGTGCCGCGGATGGCTGGCGGCGCCGCGAGCTCGGATCTCGCTGTACGTCGCGTTGTCCACTGGCCGCGGGGTCCCATGCTCTGGCGGCGGGGGCGGCGGCGGGCCCGGGGCCCGGGCGGCGGCGGCGGCTGCAGCGCATTCCGGCGCAGGCCCGGAGTGGGCCGAAGACGAGTGCGTCGATCGAAATCGAGAGACCCCGACGCCCGCGACCCCCGATCGCGAGACACAGGGACCAGACGATTCGAGCGCACTCTTCGAACGCGCTTGGCGAAGGGGGGGCCCGAGGAGGCCCGCCGTCGGGTTGGCGGCGGCGGCCGCGCGACCCAGGCGGGCCCACGGCGAGGCAGCTGCCCGCCAAGCCTAAGCGGCGGCAGCGGGCGCCAGCGGCGAGGCGGCGGCCTCCCAGCCTGGCCACCACCGGGCGGCAGCGGGGGCCGGGGCGAGGGGGCCTGTGGCGGGCGGTTTCCCCACCTCCTCGAAGCTCTCCTACTCCACGCCGTCCTCCTCGGCATCGTCCTCCCTGTCCTCGATGGTGAGGTCGCCAAGGCTGCCGTCGCGGCGTACCTCGATCCGCAGCGCGGCGGTCGCCGGCCCGTCCTCGTAGTAGTACCCGTAGCTTACGCACTACTGTCGGTGGCTCCTGGGCGGCAGTGTTGCCGCGGGGGGGCGGCGTGGGATTCCAGCGTCTGCTCGACTCTCCGAACGAGTTCAGCAGCTGTCGGTCCCTCAAGGCCCTCTGGCGTGGCCACCAGAGAGACCGCATCGTCGAGCCTCTAGAAGCCCGCTGCGGCTAGATGACCGACGTCATCATGCGCGCAGTCCCTCTCGGTGGTGGCGGTCTCCCAGGCCAAGAGGGGCGCGGCGTCCAGGTCGGGCGCCGCGAGCGCTCTGCGCGCCCGGGGTTCGGCGGCGGCCCGCGCGGCGGGCCGGGGGTAGCCCGCAGCGGCCTGGGGGGCCCGGCGGCGGCAGCAGCGCCGGCGCCCCAGCGCAGCGCGGCGGCCACCGCCGGGACCGCGAGCAGCGCAGCCGGCACCAAGGCGGCCGCGCCTGTGGAACCCGAAGATCCCTCCTGCCTTCGAAGAGAGAGGGAGCTCGGCGCGCTGCCGAGCCAAAATAGGCTTGAGCGAGCCCCTCCCTCTTTCTCTGACCACTCACCCTTTAAGCCCTGCGATCTAAGCTGCCACGCTGGAATGCCAAGAAACGCACTCTCTCTTTGACCACCAGGTGCGTCGGTAGGGCGGGCCGTTTCAAAATGTTGCTCTCGCGCTGGCGCCTCAATTTTTGTCGCCCTCTTCTCTCGCATGCCAAGTGATCGCGCTGCAAGGACTGTCCTCGCACTCCCGCGCACTTCCTGCCCCACATGCACTTCCTGGCGCACCAGGGCTGGACTGCGCGGGGCCGCCCACCTGGGCGACAGCTGCACGCGCGGTCACCTATCGCTGTGGGTCGCCGATCCGAGTGGCCCGTCGCGCGGTTCATCTAATGATGCCCTTGCCTTTTCTCACTTCGCGTTGCTATTTGAGGCGTTCTGTTTTATTCTTTTCGGATCATCGAACCTGGCCCGTCATGAATACCCGTCACAGCATTGTTTGTTTGTCTTCCCTGCCTTCTTTTCTTCTCTCGTCCTCCTCTTTCTCTCTCTCTCTCTCTGTCTCCTCTTGCTCCCCTTATTTCGGCATTGCACTGTTTCAGTGGCTGCGCTGAGTGGGGTCGAGCACGTCTCTCGGCTTCTCCTCCCTCCTTCTGCGCCTCCTTCTGTGGCCAGTGCTTTCTTTTTCTGGCAGGGGCCAGTCTTTAAAGCCGTCGTCGTGTGGGTCAGCCGAAATGTTGAAGGCTGAGCTACCCTCGCTCCCTCCTCGGCCCCCTCTGCTCCGCCTCTCCTTTTTTTCTTAGGGCCCGTGCGCGCACCTCCTCCCCCCACCTCGCCTGGCGCCGTGGCTTTTAGTTGGGGTCAGCATCTCGGAGCAGCACGCGGTGTCGAGCAATCCCGACGCCCTCCATCCGCCCCTCCGTCTCACGCTACGGCGCAGTGTGGCTGCAGTGGTGTGCAGTGCTCGCAGGTGGAGGCAACATGTTGGTGGCTCGTCCGGTGGAGGGGAAAAAAACAAAAAGCAAACAAAAAAATACAGCCTGGCCCGTCATTGGAGCCTCGTGCGGTGATCTGGCGTCCATATTCCATTCCCTGTATCGTTCCCTCTCTCGTTCTGTTTCGTTTCCTCCATCCCCCCATTGTCTCTTTCCTTGCCGCCTTGGCGACTGTCTCGGATTAGCGGTAGGGGCACGTGCCCTCTGCCCGAGCGTTTGTTCTAGAATTCATTACGCAAGCGTGTGAGAGGTGGTTCAACAGTCCATGGCTTTGAGCGCGCACAGCATAGGTAGAGTTCGGAGGGTCCGGCAGTCCCCTCTCTATCTCTCTCCCTCTGTTTTTTTTGTTTCTCTCTCTCTCTCTCTTTTTCTGGCTCTTTCTCTGATTCGTCCCTCCTTCTTGCCTTGTTGTGCCAACGATGTGTGGCCAATCGTCCTTGACATTCGTTGGTGTGTTTTGCGTGCTCATTTCAAACGGCCAACACACTTCGTCGCTTCCTCCTAAAGTGGACAGCTGCTGCTGGGGTTAGTCGCGCTGGGAACATAATGTGAGGAAACACATTGTTCATGATGGGCCCGTTGTTATTGCATCTGATTGCAGATGGGTTGGGTTGGGTCCGTCCCTGCGTATGTTCACCCCGTTCCCTCTCCCTCCTCTCTTTTGCTTGCCCTACTGTAGTTGCGTGTTTCAGGGACGTGTTCTTGCATAAGAACGTCATCAATGCCGTTCCGAAGATAGGGACGAGGGTCGCTTTCAAGCTTGGCATCGACGAGAAAGGCGCGCCCAAAGCCGAAGAGGCCACTGTGGTCACCACTGGCGTCGCTGAGGCTGCACCCCCGTTGTGGGGAAGAAGGGCGAGGAGAAGCAGAAAAAGCCGGGAGAGGAGGAGGAGGAGGAGGAGGACGAGGGGGAGGAGGAGGAGGAGGAGGAGGAGGAGGAGGAGGAGGAGGACGAGGAGGAGGAGGAGGAGGAGGAAGAAAAAGAAGAGGTGGACGAGGTGAATGAGGAGGAGGAGGAGGAGGAGGAGGACGAGGAGGAGGAGGATCAGGCAACGGCTGTTCCTGAGGGGCCAGTGCGACGTACTGGGGGGTTGCGCCAGCACCAAGTCAAAGAGCGCCTAGACTGTTTTCCGCAGCTGAGGGAGGAGAAAGAAGAGGAAGAGGCGGAAAAGGCCTCCATCCGGTTCAAAATGTTGCAGCAGCTACGATAATGGAGGGTGGTGGTGCTCAATATGGCAGCGTTGCGCACATTGGCCTTAGCAGTTTACGGCAGCTACAAGCATAGAGTGGGAGTCGTTTTCAAAATGGTGTTTTCGCTTTGGCTTCGCGCGCCGCCAACTCGCCGCGCGCATTTGTCGTAACCGCTTGCACCGTTCACACAAATGGAGGACGGTTCCTGTTCGATTCGCGGCCCTGTCTTTGAATACATATATATATGTGTGTGTATATATATATATTGAACTACTGGGCCAGATGCGAAGCCATGCGCAACAGTATGGGGAGCGATTCGTTTTCAAAGCGGGGTTCTCACATGAATACCATGCCCATTTGACTCCCATCTTTCCAAAGGGTGCTCCTTGTAGTGAAAACGAAGGTTTGCAGGGACTTATGAGGAGTGGACTTGGACCGGGAGGGCGCATTGCAGCAGAATAGTTTGAGCACCCTGGGTTAATCCTACCTACCCTGTCTCCTTGCCTCATGGATAACTCATCCTGGTCGCGCCCGCAGACGTGTCGGTAGGGTGGGCTGGCTATTTCACGTGAGACTTCTCTCATGTGCATTATCACGAAGCTTGAATTTTGCAATGGCTTCACGGGTGGAGGGCGGGTGGTTTTCAACATGTGGTTTTTGCTCAACAGCTGCGCGGATTCGTTGTACAAGTGCAACAGTTTCACGGATGGGGTGAGTGATCATTTTCAAAGTTGTGTTCATGCTTGTGTGCCGCGCACATTAGTTATAAACATTTGCATCCGTTTGACGGGCGGAAAAGAAGTGGGTCTCAAACTATGGCTCTTGCCTTAGCGCCGCGCACATTCGCTTTGCAAGCTTGCAGCACTGTCAATGACAGACAGATGAGGGGCGTTTTCAAAACGTGGTTCTCGCCACAGAGCCGCGCACAGTCGTCTTAAAAGTTTATATCCGCATATTCGCTGTGATATCCGGCAGCAGTTTCACTGATGGAGCGGGGTGGGTACCGTAACGTGGCGTTCGCTTCAGCGCCGCGCGCATTCGTTTTCAAAGGTTGCAGTTTCATTGATGGAAGGGGCAGTTTCCAGAATGGTGTTCTTGTTTCAGCGCCGCACACATTCGTCTTAAGTGTGTGTGTGTGTGATTGCTTCTCTGATGGGAAAGCGAACCACCTTCAACACGAAGTTTTTCGCTGTGGCGCCTCGCAGATTCGCGTTCAAATGTTGCAGCAGCTTCACCGATGGAGGGCGGTTCCTTTTCCAAATTAGGGTTCCTGCTTCAGCGCTATGGGCACCCGTCCCGAAACACTTCCAAACATTTGTTGTTCTCGAGTTGCTGCTACCGCCTCAACGCAATGCGAATGCGTTGTTATAATGCCGCGTTTTGCCACATGGAGGACGTGTTGTTTCGTTTGTGTGTTCCCATGGAACTCTCGCGTGGTATTCCGTTATATCCCTAAAGGAAGCGAGATTTCAGCGCAAGTAGTGCTGCACGGATCCAGGGAGGCCCGATTTCACAATGGAGTTGTCGTGTGTGGTTTCGTCGAAGTTCGTGGCTACACGTGAGTTGTGCCACATTTACACAGATATGGAAGCGGTCCTTCTTCGACAAGGGGGATCTCGCTGGACACCCGTCGGGACCGTATGATCATAGCTGTTCGCGTCCAGATTCCGTACGGTGGGGGCGTTGGTTAAGTAATGTGCCCAGGAGGTTGCGGATGTTGGGGGCTTTCTCATATGTTGAGGGCGGCAGTGATGCCCATGGTCAATGCACGGTTGGAGTGCCATTGGGTTCCAGACCCTAGGTTCTTTATCCAATGCCCTCACCGTGCGCGCCAGAAATATGCAAGGCAATGTTTGTTCAAAGCGGTGCTTTCGATCCAATGGCAGGCCCAGCAGTGTTGGTCTTTCAGGGGGGGGGGGGGGGGCGCTACTTGTGGTGCGCGCATTAGGAGGGGACTTGGGTCGGGCGAGTGCATTACAACATCGACGATGCATGTTCGGTTTCCTGCGTTGTTTTGCTATGTCCTCCTCCTCCTCCTCCTCCTCCTCCTCATCATCATCATCATCATCATCATCATCATCATCATCATCATCATCATCATCATCATCATCCTCATCCTCATCCTCATCCTCATCCTCATCCTCATCCTCATCATCATCATCATCATGCTGCTCTTTCGACGCTGTGCCTCCTCCTCCTCCTGCTCCTCCTCCTCCTCCTTCTCCTCCTCCTCTTCCTCCTCCTGCTCCTCCTCCTCCTTCTCCTCCTCCTATTCCTCCCTCCTCATCCTCCTCCTCCTCTCCTCCTCCTCCTCCCTCCGTCACTCCTTCCTCCATTCCCTCCCCCCTTCCCTCCTCCCCCCTTTTCTTTGTTTTCCTCCTCCTCCTCCTCCTCCCTTCCCTCCCGCCCTCCCCTCCCTCCCCCGCTCTCCCCTTTCTTCCTCTTCTCTCCCTCGGCCTGAGGTGCCATGCGAAGCCGAGCAGGCGGCCAGGGCTTATCCGTATAGCCACATTCGTCACCCCATTCCTCCCTTCCATCCCACCTCCCCACATAAGCCGAAGCCCACCGCAGGGCGTGGCCAACGGCGGCGCCGAGGGAAATGCGAGCGCCGCCGCGGCGGCCCCGCCGCGGGCTGCGGGCGCCGCGGGGGCGCCGCTGATCAAGAGGGCAGCGTTGATGATATCCCGAGGCGCCTTGGGGCGGGACATGGTTGGGCATTCCAAGGGGGGGGGCGAGTGGATGGAGGTGGGAGGGGTGTGGGATCGAAGTCTGAGGAACAGGACGAGGGTGAGAGGATGGCGATGACAACGACGATGGCGACGAGGTGGAGGAGGAGGAGGAGGAAAAGGAGGAGGAGAAGGAGGAGGAGAAGGAGGAGGAGGGGGAGGAGGAGGAAGAGGAGGAGGGGCGTCGCTGCCGCCACCGACGACGCCGCCGCTGCCCCCGTCGTCCTCCTCGCCGCTCCCGTCGTCCGCCTCGCCGCCGCCGTCGTCGCTGCCGCTGCCGCCATCGCCGTCGCCATCGCCGTCGCCGTCGCGCTTTCCGCCGTCGCCTTCGCCGCGTGCCACCACGCCAGGCGACCAGGTGCTTGTCGCCCGAGAGATGAAGGACGACAAGCTGCTGTGGAGCGATCTGGGCGGCAAGGCCGCCGTGCTACCCGTGGGTATGCGGGGCGCTTCCGAAAAGGATGAGGAATATTAATAATAAGAATAATGATAAGAAGAAGAAGAAGAAGGCGTGGGACATGAAAAGAGGAACATGTGTGTGAAGTCCGATCATATCATCATCATATCCTTACCTACTGTCGACGTCTCGGCTCAGGTGCTGATAATAGGTACAACGCCGCCTGTCCGCGGCGCATGGGAAAAAGGGATCGCAACCCTCCCCCTGACCTTCCTCTACCTACGGGAACTCTAGTAGGTTCGACTCTTCGGTCGTCAGTCTACATACACAGGCTACCAGCCGATAGTTTATTTCCAACAGTTTGTGCAGTTGTCTTTCTTTCTGTCCTCCTTCCTTGTTTATCCCGGAACTTGTTGCCGTCATCTCGGCCACGTTCGCAGGACAGCCTCTGTCTATTTCCTTTGCATGTGCGGTGCCGCTGCGCTTGACCTCGTTTCTTCACCGCTGTTCGGCCATGTGGCGTGGACCAACAGCAGAACTCCGCGTTCGCATAGTGGCAATGGGCTCATGTTTAATGCCCCTGACGTTTCGTCTTATCCGGATAAGGTGTTTCAATTTTCCTCCTGGTGCAACTGCTCCTGCACCGAATCCGTGACACACGCATTTGCCTCAACAGTGCGGAGCCAGGGTTTTTCTCATGGGCCTGGCGGGCTGTGCGAGGAGTGCATGTGATGCAACAAATCGCTCTCCGTTGTGACACCCCGCATCGTCTTCGACTCAGCCACATGGCGCTAGACCCCGCGGGTACCAGTGCCTCTGTGCGTGCTGGGTCGTCGACGGAGCGCTGGCGCCACGGCGCCACGGAGAGGGCAAGAGGACTGGCGATACCGGCCCCCCCCTTGTCAGGCGACATCAGTGCCGACGCGCTCGAGGGAGGGTGCATTCGGAGACCTCATGGACTCCGACTCGCCGCCCGCGCCGGTGCCTTCTCACACGCCTGGGTTCGGACAGTATGCCCCGTTGACATGACGTCTCCCTCGCCAGTGGAAGCGCCGGCGCTTGTCCTCGAAGCCACCGCTGGATTCGCCTCGGCTCCTTCTCCTCCAACTTTCGCTGGTGGAAACACCCGCGGTGGCGGCGCCAGTGAAACGCCTCCCCAGTGCGCTTCCGCGCCACGCCGCCGCTGGAACGCGCGGCGTCTCATGGGCCCCGCCGTGGCTTCCGTCTCAAAACATGTTCCTCGGTCAGGTCCAGTATCAAGTCGACCGCATGGACCCACGCCGAGGTTCCGATTCCATTGCAATTCAGACGCTCCACGACTACCTCCTCGCAGCGGGGGCCCAACTCGTGGGCGTCCGGGGCGCGGGCGCTGCTGTTGTCAGGACACTCACGGATCAACGGCTCCGAGACGACCTAAGTGCGCTTCGTACTCAGGTTTATGTGAGCACTGCCAACCTACACTCCCAAAATACCACGCTCCCGTCCGAGTTGCACGGCAAGCTGCGTAGCGCTGAGATGGACATCGCTCAACGTCTTGACGCTTCGGAGGGACGTGTGTCAACGCTTGAGAACCGAGTCTCCATGGTCGAGCAGCAGTTGCCTGACATGCAGGCTGCGCTGGCTGAGTTGCGCGCTGTGCGGACCCAGACTGATCAGCTGGGCACCCCGACTCCGGTTTACGATTCCGCCACCCTCGAAGCCCGACTGGCCGAGGCTTGGAAGGCGGCGGGCCACGCGCAGCTACTCACCCAGATCCCCCACGAAAGAGACGCTGAAAAGGCACCGGTGGAGGAAGTACTCACCCGTTTGGAACAAGTGCGCGAAGCGCACGACCGACGAATCAAGGACCTAAAGCATCGGCTGGACCAGCGCCCCCAGCGAACCTATGACACCAACGACGAGATACGTGGTTTACGACGGAGTGTAGATCAGATGCAGACTGACATCGTCACAACTGAAGCCATCATGAAGGGCCACGTGAGCGACGCTCAGATCCACATCTCGACCCCGCCTCCACCTCCCACCACCGATTGTGCCCCATCCCTCGCCGATGGAAACAGCCGCTCTGGACAACCGCGACGTCAGTCACCAGGGGCCGCCTCTGCAGCGGCCTCGGCTCAGACGCGCCACGTCTCTCCTGCGCGTGAACCATCGCCAGCGCCTCCGATCCCATCGCAGAACCTTTCGCAGCTCTCTCTCGGTGGTACCACCCCAATCAAGGGATCAGGCACTGCGCATTCCTCAACTGCCACGCATTACTCAGTTACAGGAGTGGCAACATATGGTCAGGGAAAATTGCGACGGTGCCCCTGGGCGCCTTGCCAAGGCATTCGCATTCCTTTTTGTTGCCGAACAACCTGACACTACGTTTGAGGACCTACAAGACAGTGGCGTTTTCGAGAGCATCGATTGCAAAACTGCTGCCAGACTCTCGGCAGTTCTTAAAGAGCTCCGTTGCAGACTGAAGGGCCTCATAGCCCGAGAGTGCAAAGCCGGCCGCATGCTGCAAGGTAGACAGACATACTGGACTATAGTGCAATCGCACGAGGCCACTGACGTCGACGACGCGACGCGCGATTCTGAACGTCTGCAACTTATTTGCATGCGGGGCGACGATCTCTAAGTGCCTATTGTGGACTGGGACAATCTAATCTTGGAATACCGCGAACCACCAGATACAGAAATACTTGAGTCATTGTTCCGGGCTCAGATCCGCAGACTTCCATGGGTGAAGCAGGACATGCGCGACGGCAACCAGATGAAATCGAACGACCCCCATTTCACGCACAATTGGCACCGAGAACGCGCCCTGGTCAACGTCGAGTTGCATTGGCTCGAACGCAACCAGCACAGCCCCAATGACGAAACGACTCGTTACGAGCCAGCCGCCGGCCGTCTGCGCCGCGTCCAGGCGAGGGCGCTGCAAGAACGGAGAACGGTGCAAGCTGCTACGCGCAGGATCTGGCCACCGCTCCGCACCGCGACTTCCGCAAAGAGCATCGACTGCCGGCAGAGACCCCTGCGGAAGTCGACCTTCTACGGGCCGAGGCTCCAAGCCACCGCCCAAAGGAAACAGGCGAACCGAATTTCTGTTGCACCTCCGCGAAACGCGGCTCCTGCCCACGACAAGATAGATGCGCGCGCCCACGCATTGCCAGATGCAGCTTCCACGCGTGCCAAAATTACATTGCAAACATGGCAACAGCTGCCGATTCATCCGCGTCGATCCTGGCGCTCAGACCTCCGAGCGAAGTCCCGGCCGGACACGCAGCCAGGATGGCCGCGACAGGGCGCCCTCTCCAAGACGCGGGGGGGGGGGGGGGAGGAGGGCAACAGACGCCCCCTATGCAGGGGGCGGCAGGGCTCGCGCAGTCCGGGGGGTCGTGCCGGTCACGCCGCGGAACGCCGCCCCCAGGGCACGGGGGGCGGCAGGGCTCGCGCAGTCCTGGGGGGCGCAGATGTTTACCGCGATCCCCGCAACGCCCCCGATCATCCCCGCGGGGCGGCAGCCGCGACCATCGTCGCGGACGTTCCCCATGCCGGGAGCGACGGGGGCGGAAGCCGATCCGCGCCCCGCGGCTACGGCCGATCACCATCGACCCGCAGTCGGAACCGCTCTCTTGCAACAGCGCTTCACAATCGACGACAGGATCGAACGCATGCGACCCGCGAAAGGATGCTTCCTATCACCCATCCACAATCGCGGCACCTACATTTCGACCCAGGCAACATTGGCATCATCACCTACGCGTTTCATCGCCGACTTTACAAGTCAAACGAACCATGTGCCAACCAATGTGACCCCGTTGATGAACCTGATCCGTTGCCTGATTGGTGGTTGGGCGACAGCGCGCAGGCGCTGCGCGACTGTCAGACCGAGGCTCAACGATGGCATGATGGCCTCATGCTGCCTCCCAGACTTCCCGCGGCGCCCGTCGTGCCATCGCATTGCGACGCTGCGTCGGCGGCAACGCCCGCGCCCGAGTCTACATCCATGGCGCGACGCGGCCCACTGCAGCGTCGTCGCGGACGTGGATCTTGGATAGCGGTTCTGCTCATCACATCCAAGACAAGGCCGATCTCACACCGCGAGAAACAGCTGACGCGCACCAAGGGCGCGAGCACATACTCGGAACAGCCTGCGGCGACAGGATCGCCAACGAACGAATTCATCTGCAATTACCGCGCATTGGACTATCCAGTTCAGCCCTCGCGCTGGATGTTTGCCCTTCGGTACTATCTGTGGGGCAACTGGTGCAAGACGACGGCCCCCGACAAATGCGGAGTCCACAATTGGGTTACTTATTGCATGACCCACGCGGTCAACAGTGCAAGGTTACTGTCACGAACCGTACCCCAGGACTCGACACTTATAATCCGGAACGGATTTCGCCGCCTCAGTTGTGCGCCGCGTCGATTACGTCACGACGTTCGCGACGCGCGCTACAGCATGGACCTTATGTTTCGCACCCTTTCCTGTATAGATGTTGCGAGGATGATGCCGTCGCGCCGGTGGGCGCGCCTGCGTCTACGCCTTCAGCGAGCGAAATGACGCATTGTGATCTTGCGCCTGTGGACACAGCCTCATCCACGCCATCTGTGAGCGACCTGACGTCTGGTGATTTAGCGCCGGTGGGCACGCCCGCGTCTATGCCGCCAACTCGCGACGCGACGCTACCTGGCCGACCACGGCCTCCCATCGACCCCTCGCACTGCATCACTCACAGCCCAAAGCATCCTCACTGTGAGATACGTGCATGAATCCTGGTGCACAATGCACCATGCCGACGCCAACGCCGACCCAACCCACCAGCACATCCGATTGAGGAAGACGCTCAGCACGAGGCATTCGTACCCAATCGACTCGGCGAGGCCTTGACTGCCGACCACATTGTCCTTGCTCCAGACGACGCCACCGAGATATATGGTGACAAGTGCGCCTTGGTCGCGCTGGATAAGTTTACAGGCGCCATCATGACATGTCCTGCGAAGCACAGGGACGCCGCAACCACCGAGGCATC